TCAACAAAATTTATAATATTTGGATCACTTTATAAGAATCAATACCCAATTCAATACAGTTGATCTTTATAAATCATAAGAACAAACAATAGTTAAACAAATAATAAATAGTAATGAGACAAATGCAAGTATAGCTTTAACTTATTTTATTGCCTATGTTCATATTTGTATCAATATTATTATTCTCACCAGTATCTTTATTTACACCTATATATTTATCTATTCTAGCATCTTTATCAGTAATTAAGATCTTAGAAGTATTCATTTGTATTACAATATTTGAAAATATATTGTCTATATAATTTGAAAATATGTCTCTTGTATAATTTATAAATACGTTCAACATATTATTTGTGAATAAATTGTCTGTATAATATGTAAATGTATTTTTCATATGATTGGTGAAAGTATTTTCTATATGATTTGTAAAAGTATTTTTTATATGATTTGCAAATATATTTTCTATATGATTAGTGAAAGCATTTTCTCTACACTTTGTGTGATTATTTTTCACATAATTTATAACTATATCTTTTCTTACATTATTTATAAACATATCCATATTCTTAACTATATTATTATTGAATATAAAGATCATACTTTCGTGAATGCAAAGGTTGATTTTTGCTGTTCTAAATATGAATTGTCTATAAGTTACTGTTTTAAAAAAAAAATCTAATCTACTAATTATTTATATAAAATTGGGTGATTTTTTTTTTCTTAAATTTCTGATATTTCTTAACTATTTCTTTTGATTTATTAGTTGCTAGACATTTTCCAATTAGTTGTACTAATCACAACTCTTGATTTTATTGCTTATAAATTGTTGTTATCCAGGTCACATTCTACATTTTAATACTTGAATATACTTAAAGAATTGTTTTTTTTATATACCTGCTTTTTATTCTTCCACACTACACTTCACCACTTCACCTTCCTAATACCAAACTACTCTTTTGTCACAAACTTCTACCTATACATAATAATATTTATTAGTACTTATTTTATTCAAAATAATGAAGTAGAAATACAATTTGTAAGACTCTAAATTACTCAATTAGACTCAATTAGACTCTAAATTTACACTGTAATTATTACGATTTGAATCAAATATACTTGTATAATATAATCTTGATAACTTGGTATTACTATTAGATTTCAGGAGAGCATCAGTAACTGGGCCAAATTTAGATCAGTGATAGTAAATGACAGGTAGACTAATTAGAAAATGAGATTTTTTTATATAGAGTTAGGATGGATATAAATTAATAAAGAAGCGATAGATTAAAGTAAAATAAAGACAACAAAAGGTAGATAATTATTGTTATAATAATTATAAGATATAATAAGTATGTAGGAAGGATCGTGAAAGTATCTTCACGATAGGGATATTATGATATATATACACGAAAAAAAATAGTAAAGAGGTAATGTAATAAAGATATATATAGTAAGCACAATAGTTTATTTAATTAAATCAGAATTAATAATGATGTGGATTATTTCTAAATAGTTTTAACAATAAGGCCAAGCAAGAGCACATATAAATAACAATATAATAAAAATTTTTAATAAAGTTGTGAAAGTATATTCACAATAAATAATCAAAGATAATGCCATGAAAATGTATTTATGATAATTTTTATCAAGAGATCAGGGTAAGAATTCGATAATTTTAAATATAATATTTCAAGTATATAAGAGATTGAAGTCTAAAGACGCTTTATTAAAAGTCAAAATTAAGTCTTTAAATACATAAAATCATATATATAAATTAATACACTACTCAATTATTAGGCTATTCTTTCCTCTGTTATATGCCTTATATCTTCTATAAAATCTTTCTATCTACAAGAATCGCTTTGTTTCCCTACTTATTATACAGTATTCTGATAATAAGTAAATATATTTTGTTCTCAAGAACAATTGAAAAAGTTTGGGTAATCCTATTACTACTCCCAAGTTTGATGATTTATACAATACCACAACATTCACAAGAACCAATAATTTAATAGTAGAACTTATCTCAAGACAAAGATTCAACTTATTGATGAATCTAATCTCCAAAGACTTCGTGTCTATAAATTATGTATAATCAACTAAATATAGTAATAAAAATAAAGTATATCTATAAAGTACAAAATAAAAAATAGATAGTCAAATATAGTATGACTAAAATAAGAAGAAAAAAAAAAATTAAATAATATGGTTAATGGTTCAGGCTGCAAGATCGATATATAATCATTACATAATGAAGACACAGAAAATTTTTTACATGATGATAATAACACCGGTACTAAGTATTAGTATAACTGATTATATTTCACTATATATGTTATACTATATATTATGTTATACCACAGTTGATCAGTATAATCTGGCACAAAAAGATCTAGCTACTATATCAATTTTTCATAGATGATTCTCAATTTTGATTGGCTAATAGCTATGATCTACAAAATTTTGGCCCAAATTACATAAATATTTATATAATTTTTGGCTAGAATTAACTTTTTAACTTTGTTTTTTCCAAACTAGAAATTTTTAGAGAAATAGACTCGCACAATAATAAAATTAGCCCAAAAATATTTTTTATTTAATATGCAGCTATGGTTTTATTAGTAAAATTTTGAGTAACTTGGGCCAAAATTTTTGATCATTGCTTTTAGCCAATCAAAATTAAGAGATCGTTACTGTTAGCCAATCAAAATCGAGAATCATTCGTTAAAAATTGATAATGTCATGATTTCTTGGGTAAAATCGTGACTGGATAATATACGGATAGTAATGAGAATGTGTATAAGCTTTAAGTCATACAAATTGTAATGAAGCTAAGTAAATATTAAAGCTTAGATTATAAAAGGACATAATATTTATTAATTCATTATTTTTGTTTATTTCTATGTCTGAAGATTCTTATTTGTTTATTAAAACGTAATGACTAGAGTGAATCAAAGCTTAGAAAAAGGTTGGAAGAAAGTAAGGCAGAGTAACTAGAGTAAAGAAAAGCTTAGTTAGTAAAATAGAAAATAAGTAAAGGACATATGTAAATAGTAAGATGTTTAGCAAATGTATAGTTCTAGTCAAAGTAGCTAAAAAGAATATGTAAAAGCCTTATTTTTGTATTACTATAATCAAATATATTTATTATTATATTATTTTGAGTTCTATACAAAGAACATATAAGTTAACTATTGGAGTTAAATTGTGCTAATAGTTTTATAAACTCTCTCAAAACAATAGTAATATTTGGTGCCGATTGTGTAGATTGAAAAAGATATTTGTGTTAAAGAAATTATAAATCTAAGTTAGAAATGTCTATAAACCAACAACCCCAACAGCTAGCTCAATTAAACCTGAATAACCCCTTATATAATCTAGCCAACCAAATTGCTACTTTGGTTTAGCAGATGCAAACTGCGCTACCACCGCAAGTTAATATTCTTGCTAATCCTTGGGAACTTAATACTATACCTTATTCTGAATTTCATGGAGAAGACCAAGATCCTATAACTTGGCTTGAAGATGTTGATAAAGCTTTTGAGGCCAATCTTATATCACTACTCCAGAAGATTTCTGTGATTGTTCCAATGCTTAAAGGTCCAGCTGCAACATGGTGGGCTACGAGAAGAAATCAACAACCTATAATTGATAGATGGCATGATCCTTTGGTACCCTACCAAAGTTTTACTACTTATCTCATTATAAATTTAGAACTCTGAGTTAGAAGAGAAATGGTTTGCACAACTAACTCAAAGAAAACAAGTGCTGGGTGAACTGTGGATGAATACTATATGGTGATTAAAGAATTAATTTAATAAGTAGAGTTAGGAGGTCACTAGTATCTAAATATAGCTAAAGCTCAGATGTTTATTAATGGACTTTATTCTGAATTATTTGTAGCTGTATCATCTCTTACTCCTAATACTTTGGAAGAAGCATATATGTGGATGAAAGTATTTGAAAGTATTTGAAAGTATTTACAAACAAGGATCTGTTCACACTATGTATTCTATACAGTTTATTATCCAACCTTCATGTGGAACTCCTACTTTGATTAATAATCTAAATGTTAATTCAAATAAAACTGTTGAGGTTTTAAAAAACTTTAACTGATAGCATAAATAAATTAATAACTCAAATTCAAGACTAGCAATGATCATCTCCTCGATCTCAGCCTGGAAATTACGTTTTGCTAACTATTACTTGTTATACTTGTGAACGTGCTGGGCATTATAGTAGAAATTGTCCTGAATTACCTAATATTCAAAATAATTCTTCTGCTAATAATTGTCTGCCAAATAATAGTAATAACAGCATCAATTATAGTAATAATCCAAATAAAACAACTTCCCAAAAAACTTTACAAGCACTATTAGCATTAATAAATAATTCAGGAACAGCTAATAATTCAGAGAATCAAACTTTGTATTTAAGCATACCAGAAGAAGATGAGCCACTATTTCTACCTGCTAAAAGACCTATTCGTCCCAAACCTATAATGAATACACCAATCCTTCAAAAAAGGCAAGCTGAAACTAAAGCTGTGAATTTAATCAACCTTGAAGAAACTGGAGAAAATAAAGATCCTGATATTGAATAGAAAAAGTTAATGAAGCCCAAGAAAACCAAGAATTAGCAGACTCTATTGTCTAAAATCAAGAAAGATTAACTTAGCCGAGTCACGTAATACCGGTAAAGTCGAATTACCTAAAGTGAATAAAAAAGATAATGTGAAAATAGTTCAGAAAAAGGTTCAAACTATGCGACGTAAAATTATTGTTGAAGATGATCTACTACAAATCTCTTTTTTAGTGACTCCATATTCCATTGTAGCTGACTTGAGAAATAAGCCTGCTAATATTATATTTAGGCAATTGTTGAGGGCTGTAATATCTATGAGGCAAGAGTTATCATGATCATTACAGAATAAAAGAATTATTAATCGAAATCAGGTTCAAGTCAATATTAATATCCAACCCAGTTTGAAATCAACAGCTTTATATTGTGATGCTAAAGTCTATGATTGAGTAATTCTACTGATCATTGATAGTAGTTCTTCTGGAGATGTTGTTATGACTTATTTGTTGAATGATCTTGGAATAAGAATCAAATAACCATCAGTAGTAAATATGGTCAATATTTATGGTAAAAACAAACGTGCGATTAGAGAAATTTTTAATTTTCTATTTAGTATTGGTGGTATTGAAATCTTGATTGATGTGATAGTAACCGATACTAGTTCATATTGTGCTATTGTAGGAAATGATTGGCTATTAAAAGTAAATGTGACTGTCGATTAGAATCGATCTGAAATGACTTTAGTATTAGAAAACAAAGAAATTGTTGTTCTGGTAGAATTTCAAAAATTAGCTAAAGTACTGTTAGCTAAAGATAGGGTTGTGATAGTAAGAGACATCAAAGATAAGAATGACGATGCTGAGAAAAAAATGGAAAATGACTTTGAAGAGGAAAAGTTAGAAGAACAACTCTATACAATGACTATATTTAGTGAAGAAGGAAATCTTGGTGAAGCACGTGATAGATTAGGATTAGAATAGGAAAGTATTATGAAGGAAGATAATAGATATAAAGATGAAAATGTGATACCATATAATGTAGGGCCTGTCACAGGTCTTATTGTAGCCCAAGAAGAGGAATATCAGCCTATTTCAGATTTGTTCGATTACTACTATGAAAATAGAAGCTGCTCTAATATTAAATATAATATTAGAGAAGTTGAAGACGATCAAAGGAAGCAATTGTTCAAATTGCTTAAAAATCATTCTGATTCTTGTGCCCAAGATATCTCTGAGTTGGGTCAGACTGATATAATTCAGCACCATATTCCTACTCAAGATATATGGTCAATTCGACAGCAATCATATAGATACTCTCCAGCTAAAAAATGATTTCTCAAGGAAGAAATTAATAGTATGCTGGATAAACAGATCATTTGACCATCTACTAGCCCTTGGGTATCACCAGTTGTATTAGTAAAGCAAAAAAAGCAAAAAATGCGATTCTGTATTGATTATAGAAAGTTGAACACTATAACTATTAGGGACAATTACTTTTTGTCATGAGTTAATGAACTTTTGGATGCATTAAATAGATCGTCATAGTTTACTTCATTGGATTTAGCTAGTGGATATTGGCAAGTAGAGATGTTTAAGAAAGACAAAGAAAAAACTGCTTTTATTTCCCTTTATAGTCTTTATAAATTTAATGTTATGCCCTTTGGTCTTATAAATGTGCCAGCTACATTTCAGAGACTAATGGATCAGATCTTTAATAATCTACTTGGAAAGTTTGTCATGGTATATCTTGACGATCTTAATATTTTCTTAAAATCATTCGAAGAATATTTGGAACATTTAAAGAAAGTATTTGAATGACTATAGCAAACAGGGTTGAAAATTAAACTGCAAAAATGCCATTTTACTCAAAAAAAATTGAAATTCTTAGGATATGTTATAAGTGCGCAAGGAATTTCTACAAATCTAGAAAAGGTGCAAGCTGTTTAAGAATTTCTGATACCTCGAAATGTAAGACAACTATGAGGATTTCTGAAATTAGTATCTTACTATCATCAATTTATCCTAGACTTTACTAAAATTACTATCTCTTTGAATTCGTTATTGTGAAAGAACGTTAGATATCACTAGGCAACAAGTCAACAAGAAGCCTTTAAACAACTAAAAGAAAAACTCATCGCAGCTCCAATTTTGGCATATCCGAATTTCTCAAAGTTCTTCATTCTTTTTACAAATGCGTTGGGTTTAGCCTTGGAGGCTATTCTCTCTCAGTTAGATGATAATGATAAAGAAAGAATTGTTGCTTATACAAGTCGATCCTTAATATCAGCCGAAAAGAATTATTTGGTGGATTCTGACCTTGCAGGAGTATACATTTACAACCATTTACCAATCTGGAAAAATTCATCTTAACGCTGATAGTCTTTTACAAATTTAAGAGAATCAAGTTTTAATTTTTCTTTTCTTCAATATACAATTTTTATGACGTCGATTTCAGATTATCCTATTTTGATTAATGAGACTTATAGATTTAGAAATGTATTATTTATTTTTAAGGTATCTTAGCAAGTCTACAGTACTTTCTAACTTTACAAATACGCAAATTAGAGCCCTAGAACATAAAACACACCATTATTTTACTCGAGATGAGTTGTTATATAAAAAGAATCCTCGATATTTTCTCAGACCATTATGAATATTAAAACCACAGAAAGTTGAATCTATCTTGTACATGATGCATTTGAATCTATTGGCAGGATATTTCAATAAGGTAGCTACGTATCAGTGAATTATTACTCGATATTTTTGGCTACAGATGGGAAATGATATCTGTGATTATATTGCATCATGTGATTCATGCCAAAGAAGAGGAAGGCCTATCGCTAAAAAACCTCTTCATCCTATTCGAATTGAACAACCTTTCAATCGTATAGGTATCGATATAGTAGGTTCGTTATCTGTAACCAGTATTGTCACAGGACAGTTGTGGACAGTGAGTTTGGATACTTTGGACAATTTTAGACAATTAAATAAATTAAAATTACTTAAAATTTTATTAAGATAATCTATATTACTTTCTAAGTAAAATATGTTCAGCACCTAAAAAAATATATAGTTATATATATTTTAAACAAATTTATTAATTATTAAAGCTTAAGTATACTCTAGATACTTTTGGATACTTGGATATTTGAACGTTGGACGGTACCAAAAAAGCCTTTGGACAGTCAAAATGTACATCCCTGCCTGTAACTACAAAAGGATATCGATATATAGTGATAGCAACTGAATATTTAACTCGATAACCAGAAGCACATGCTATTGAACGAGCTGATGCTAAAATGGTGGCAGCTTTTCTTTTTGAAGATATTATTTGTCATCATAGGAGTCCATGTAAATTACTCTCAAACCAAGGAACTCATTTCTGTAATAAATGATGGATGCACTATGTAATAAGATGAATATTCATTATTCAAAAACAACGGTATACTACTCGCAAACAAATAGGTTGGTTGAACATTTTAATCAAACATTATGTGAGGTTTTGGCCAAATATATTGAACAAAATAAGGGTGATTGGGATGATTATATACCTGCTGCACTTTTTGCGTATCGAATACATAGATATTCAGTCATCTGATACGAACCTTTCTTTTTGATGTATGGTCATAATACTTTATTACCATAGAAACTGTTATTTCGATTTATCCAAATGAACCAATCATTGAAAAAGAATTGCAGGATTATTTGTTGAGACGAATAGAAAGTTTGATAGGACAGTTAGTTGAATTGCGCTCTCAGGCTAAAACTAATATTAGGAAGGCTCAAGATAAACAGAAAGCACGTCATGATCAAAGCCATCATATAGAAAGCTATTCGATTGGTGATAAGGTATTATTAGAGCAATCCTCTTTGTTGACATCGTATAGTATGAAATTTGAACCCAAATTTACTGGACCGTATTATATTCATAATGTTTGTGGCAATGAAGCATACAAACTACAAACAATAATAAATGATAAGCCTGGTAAAAGAGAAGAAGTTCTCAAAAAACCTATATACGGAAATCGATTAAAACAGTATATAGAGCCTTCTGTAAAAAGAAACTCTTAAACTTATAAATATGGCTCAAATTGATCTTTATCCTCTTTGAAAAAAAAAAAAATAGAATCTTTTCAATTAACTGCATCTATTTTAAAATTATTGTTAAGTGTTCAAAACTGTATTAAAAAATCTTCTGTATATACTCTTCGTATTACGACTACTACCGTCGAATTTCTTGATAATCAAGGAAACCAAGTTCAAATAGAATATGCCTCTGAATTGGTCGAAGGAGATCGAATACCTCTTTACATTGAAGATCTTCATAAATTAGGAGATCCTGCAAAGGACTTGACCAATTTGAAGGACAAAACTGGAACCAACAAATGGATTATCTGTGTATTCGAATCCAGCTTTGTCGGTTAGATCCGGTAACCTTACTTCAGCATTATTATCAATTAGAAGAAAGGATGGCTATGTATAACTAGAACTCTTATGTTAAAGAAGAGATAAAAGACCGATTTACCTTGGAAAAATATTGTAATACATTAATACTCTTTAGGAATACATAACTTGCTAGTAACATAACATCTATCCGCTAATATTCTACACGCAATAAATAAAATAAATTTTAATACTTTGTGTGAAGAAGCTAAAAAAGAACTTGAAAAAGAGAATGAGCATTTAATGAATCAAAATATAATGCTCGCAGGAGGATTCAATGTAACATAAATTTGTGATGCTTCGACATGCAGTTTTCTGGGTTTTTTTGAAGTAAACATTAATAGTAAAATTTCAGATACTAATCTGTTTAGAGTCAAATGGTAGTTGGAATAGCAAGGATTAATGGCTGATTAACTTTTGCTCTTATAAACTATTGTTTGTATCTTAAAGCTTTATTTTTATATTTCCCAAATCAATACCGAAATAAAAGTTGTACAGTATATATGATGAACTATATACAATTGTAGAACTTTTCAATATAACTTTTCATGAATAAATTTACTTGCATTAACTTTTATCCATAGCATCGAAAATCGCCTGTTGTATCTCATATAAATCGATAGCAACTCCAGGCGCAGAAGTTTGAGAAAGAACCTGAAGAGGAGGGAGAGGATGATCACATCCCGCATAAATGCAATCACGGTCAATTGTAAGCCATTTCGTTTGGGGGGCCGAGCAAAAATTACTAGGCCTTCCGCTTGCGCCAGCAGTCCCAAACTCAATCTACCATTTTTAAATATGAGTAAACAGGTGAAAAAAGGTCATTCGCAAAATTCCATGATATTTACCTCTTGAATTGGATCAAATGTCGTAGCGTTTGGGTTTAGTTGAAGAGTTGTACGTCGACAGAATTTCAAACACTATCGGAAATAAAAATGAATGATTAAATGGAAAGAGCAAGAAAAATCATATAAATTACGGAATAATATTGAACTCGCAAACGACGCAAAGGTTGTCCATTTCGATCACGGCGCCTATTACTCCAATTGCCCAATCTAATGACAATCACATCCTCGCAACGATTTGGACCTAGCCAAAAGTTGTTGATCTTGTTCCTCATGCGTTCAAGCGTTTCAAAGGAAACAACCTCGAGGATAACAGTTGGCCATGGGTTCCCCTAAAGTTTACAGATTAACATCCAATACATATTTTTATATCCAAACAATCATATTCAAATTACATACACCCTTATCGCATGGATTAGGCACCGGGTTTGGCAGATTTAACAGACGTCGAGGCACAAAACAGGCATCGGGTTCTTTGTACTCACCCGTCGTCAGGTCATATAATTCTGAATTCAACGTAATTAAGTTTGGTATAATAAGATACATGCAAAAACTAAAATACTTGAACCTACTTTTCGCACCCCAAAATCTAACGTTATCCTGAGGTGATGCATTTCTAATTTGATCAAAAATTTGGCGAGTGAATTCGCCTATTGTACCTTCATGGTCACCAGATGGCAACTCAATAATCGTCACAATGCCCTTATCATAGTCCCAAAATCTTCCCGCCTTGGCATTTTCAGATTTCTTGGCAAACTCCTCGAATGATACATCCCTTGCAAGGACCAAAGGAAGCCTAATGAAACAAATCGAACCTTAACATGGGCAATTGGAAAAACTACTGTGACCCTCATTATGTTCCAGCTTACCTTTCACCGTTAATAGACGGATAAGTTCCTTCAACCCACCAAATTTTTTCTTTGTCGGTTGCCTCCATAACGTTTTTAATGTATGATTTCGCTCTAAAATGCACTGAAGAAAATGATTCGGAATAATTAGCCAACATTGCCATATTCCTGACCATGAACTATCATTAGTGACTTCATTATTATTCTTAATTAGGCATCTCATTAAATGCTTATACTTATCTGGCTACGTGTACGTATTCTCACGCTACAGCCATCTTTTCGATCCATTGACTTACGTCAACTTGAACGAAAAGCATTGCACGCATGTGATAGTGATTATTTGGATGCATCTGGCTATTAGCGCCAGATATTAAACTTTATTGCATGATCTTTATTAAGAATAAACAGCATCAGTACAATTGATGTATAAACCGAGACGGGATATGTTCCCAGAAAATAGCATATTTGCAGCCGGGTATCGCCGTCATCGGTTGAATTCGCGATGCGTAGCATCAGTCGGTGGCTTTCCCACCTGCACATGGAGGCCGACTTTTGACGAGAAGTTTAAGCTACTACAAAATGGCAGGATTCCACGTGGATTCCAAAATTCAGAATTCTGCCATTTTGGCCCCACATACGCTTTGCTCTTCATCATCCATTCATCGTCATTCATTCATTTTCTGGTGTTAACCTGTCGCAGCTGTCTAGTTATACGATGCTCACATTACATTCAATGCACATAGTCACTCAGTACGCACGATATGCTACCCACGCATGATTCACTCCGTCACGCTGCCAAGTCAGATATGAATATACGCCTCGTATCACTATTCTCCGTTGTATTTAATCCCTTTATTTATATATATCGATATGTATTTATTCGCATATATATTTATCTAATTATTTCCAACCTCTTTCCCTCCCTTTTTTTATATATATATATATATATATCATTATTATTTTTTATTATTCCGACTACGATCGGGTTCCAAATATTGTATGACGATCGTTAGTTGGAATATGCTCTGCATAGGATGGCAGCCACCGTTGCAGGGTGTGTCCGAATATATTTATGGAATGCATCTGATGACCATCTGCCTAAGCTTTGAACCAATGGTAGTTGTACGCCCCGCAATACTAACTCCCAGCACGGAAGCTGTGGCCAGCGGGGTACCCTTCACCGGAGCATATGCTATATTGGTTCTGAGAATCGTATATGCTTTCAACGTGTGAATTAGATCATCCTTAGTAGGGTTGACAATTGTGGCAGATTAAAATGAAATTCAGATTTAAAATGAAATAATAATATAAAATCTCAAAAAATAAATTTTTTTGGTGGGTATTTTTTAGGGCTAGGGGTTAAAATTAGGGGTTAGGATTAGAGTAAAATATATTAAACAAGTATAAGTGGGTTTTAGAAGGTTAGGAGGTTGAATAGAAAATGTAGATTTCATTTTAAATTATGATCTGCGACAATTATTAATATTGGCCGTTCGACTATCTTATGATTCTTTGTCCTGGGCAGCTGGACTGTTGCATGCCTGTCTTCTCAAATCTTAAGGCCTGAATTGTAGGTACTCTTGTTGTATCCTGGTGCGATTTAGGTGGAAGTTCTCCTACTACAAGTGCTATGGTCCAGAACAATAGACTATCAGGGTCGCTCAGGTTCAAACTTGCCCTTATTTGCCGTAATTGGTCACGTGTAATATGCTTCTTTTGCTGTGTTGGTTTAAAAGTGTGATTATCCTCTATTGTCTTTAACAGTTGTCTGATTAGTGGGTCGTTACGTGTCTGATTCCATTCTGCATGGTTCATTGTATGGTGGTGCTTCAGAGCGGACAGATATGATATCCCTTAAACTGTTTAAAATTTAGTACAAATTTGGCCTGAATTTTACTATAAAAATACTTCTAATCTATTTTTTAAAAAATTTAACATAGTTAAATAAAATTTTTTTTGATAATATTTAAAGATAAGGATTATGTTTTGTAAAATTTATATTCAAATTATAAAACAAAAAATTTAACTTGTTTATAAGCTAAAACTATACAAAATTTAAAAAAGTTTTTAATTAAAAAAATAATTTATAATTTTTTAACAAATTCTTTAAAAAATTTTATCATTTAGTGCATGTGCATTGTGATGCGCCCCATAAGATTCAGTGTAATGTGAAATCAAAACAAACCAACCAATATATTAATTTAGGGTAAGGGTTAGCACTAATGTAAGGTTAGGATAAATTGTAGATAAATGTTAGTTATATCTAAAATTTTGCAAGAAATTTTTTTTGTTAGAACACAAAAGGTGGTTTCATAAACAAAATTATGAGTTTCAAGTGATTTTTTCAAAATATTACTATTTTTTTCGATTTCATGTTACACCTGATCTTATAATCTGATTGGTCGATCAGGTGGGTGCATCACAACACAGGTACGCTAAATTATATAATCTTTCTTTAAATATTAATTTTAAATTTATAATTTTTTAATAGAAATTATTTTTAAATAAAGGATTATAATTTTCATTATTGTAACTTTGTAATTTATTTGTAAAAATTAAGACCTGTATTAGAAGTAAAATTTTTTTTATAGATGGTAACATAAAATTTTAAAAATTTAATGAAAATTTTATAATAAAAAATTCAAAATAAAAATTTTAAATCTTTATTATTCTTAAGCTTTTAATAAAATTAAAATTTTTTTTTTACAGAATTATTATTATTATTTTTTTTTTTTTGCTAAAGCAGCAATCTTGCCTGTATGTTTTTATTATTTAATAATATAAGCATAGAGAACTTTTTTATTTTTTAGAAAAACACAGACTTTGTTATATGATAATTAACCAATCAAAAACTACTTTGTAATATATAATCAAAACAGATAGATAATTATTGAACTAAGACAGCCAATCAACAGACATTACTCGTATATTATGACTTCATTCATAATTTAACTTTGAAGTAAAATAATTCGTATTGTAAAGAAATCAAACTATTCATTCATATTATAACAGTAATTTTACAATTGTAAAACTCATTTAAAAGATTTTTAATACAAGTTATATGTCCTTCAATAGTTTTTCTTAAAATTTTGTGTAATTAATAAAACTATACTATTGATATATTAAATTATTCTACTATATCAAATATCTTTTAAGAAGCATGTATAACTTTAAAAGAAAGTCTGTATAAGTTTGTAAATAAAAATTAACAAGTTAATAATTGAAATAATAAAGAAAAAAAATTGAAAAAACAATGTTAAACTTTGTGAATTAAGCAGTATGATCTACTTTTTTATCTTTTACTATACGGTAGATAGTACTTCAACTTTTAAGAGATCTACCTTGTATAGCATGATACAATATAATACAACTTGGTTTTTTGACAAGACATTCGTTATGAAGTTATTTTATTAGTAAAGTATTGGATGTTTGGTTTTTTTTTTTTAGTTTACTTATACCTGAAAATTTTGGTTTTATATTACTATCCTATATAAATACTTGTGTAATATCAATTCTAGAAATCATCAGATTCGAATGTCTCCTATGCTAGTAACATATGATTACATTTATATATAGTAGTTTATCAACGAAAGTACAACTAACAATATGTATAACTTTAGTTATTATCTAATTAAAGGTTCTGTCTATAGCAGTCACATGATATATCACATATAAAATTTTTAATTATGGGTTAAATAATTGACACACCTAAATTTTATATGTAAAATTTAGGAAAATTTTGCTTTTTACGCTTATCTAATAATAAAAAAGTCGTCAGTTTGATTTTACAGTTGTAGTTCACAAATTCTCTACTATTTGAGGGACCTCCTCATAAAATTTTAAGGGTGGTTTATAATAAAATAATAAATAATCTCAACTGCAAAGTTGGTCAATTTTTTGACGATTTTTACTATTTTTTATCTCTTAAACCGTCCAAATAAGCAGGCAAATTTGCCTGCTTAAATTTTATAAATTCATGTTTGATCTATTTTTTTTAAAAATAAAAATATTTATTAATTTTTTTTTTAAATAAAAACTATAATTATATACTATTTAAAACTTCATTTTATTTGCTTAATATTTATAAAAAATTTGAGGTTGTTTATAAAAGAAAATTTTTTAATTTTTTAAAAAAATTTTAATTTTAAAAATTTTTTCTGTTTTTTTTT